AAACATCTTAACCATGGAAAAACATGGTGAGGAGAAAATAAACATGAAAAAACCTTAAGCGTGACTACTTGGCTTGAATACATGAAGACCTGGAAACATGGCATGACATGGCAGGATAGCAAACGATTGGATGAGGAATGAATGAAAACACACAGACTAAATGCACACAGGAGGTGATCAGGGGAAGTGGAAACACATGGGGAAACAGGTGATTAGAATAAACATAATGCCGCCACAGGGGAAGTGAAACTACACACATAGGACACCAGACCTTTTCAAAATAAAACAGAAAACATAATAGAAGGCAGACATGGCACGAGCTTGACAACATAGGACACGAAGACAAGAAACATGACAGGTTAAGACAAGCAGACTCAACATGATGAACCGACAAGGGAGACTTAAACATAGGGGGTGACGACACAGAGGGAGTCTAATAAACAAAGAACTATAACTGAGCGACCGAGGAGATTAAGATGACTAAATGAATTTAAAAAATAAACCATAAACATGAGAATATATTAAAACTCAAAACGCTGGGTCAAACATCCCAGGATCGGGACACATCCTCTATTAATAGAGATACTAAACAGTGTAGTAATTGAGTAGTTATCTTTAGTTTGGTTTAGGGCCCTCCAGGGCTTATGTGATGATTACTTGTCCAAAGAAAAAGACAAAGTTATATTAAAAAACTGTAAGTTTTGGACATTTGCTTATATGCAGCAACCAACATAGTATGTCAGTCACTAAAAATTACAGGGCCCCTGCAGGAGCTACACCTACTTCCTCCTCTTATACTGCCCCTCCTCCCCCACCCCCCAGTTTGTGGTGTGAAGAAGAAGAACAGATTCATCATCAAAGTAATGGTGAGTGCTTATATTGATCATGCAGCTTCAGGGTCACTGCAGTCAGCATTTTGGGGCAGCAGTGACAAGGCTGCTAAATTCTGAAAAGGTTATATCACATAATTAATCAAAATTGATTTCTAATGTCAGATTAAATGTCCACCGCTGGCGGCCCCTGTTGCTATGGTGAAGGGCTGAATGGTGATATGGCTGCATGGGAGAGGTGTTTTCATGTATTGCCAAGCTCTACACTTCGCTAGTTGTGAACAAGCTGAGGAGCTCATTAGTGTAGCTGATTGTACAATTGCAGTCAGGTCCATTGAAATTTGGACAATGAAATTTGGACATTTTCTTTTGTAATTTTGCCTCTGTACATCACCACAAGGGATTTTAAACCCAGCAATCAAGATGTGATTGAAGTGCAGACTTTCAGCTGTAATTCAAGGGTTTTAACAAAATTATTGCAGGAATTACAGCTATTTTTGTAGAATAGCTCCACATGTTCAGAGGGGCTTGACGAACAATTCAAGAACATCCGGCTTCTTTGCTTTCAGAAACTCTGGAGTTGCTTTTGCCGCATGCTTGGGTCGTTATGCATTTGTACTTTGAAACGCTGTCCAATCGGTTTTCCAGCATTTAGCTGAATCTGAGCAGAGAATCTGTACATGTCACAATTCATTCCGCTACTTCTATCAGGAGACCGATCATCTGAGCTCATACTGAGAGTTCCAGAGAAAAGAATCAAGTTTAACATTTGGAATCGATACTTAGGGACTTTTGATAAAATCAGTTGTTCAAATCACGCAATACTTTTGTCAAACTGTTTGAATTCAAGAAAATCATGTGTAAAGAGGAGGTCCTGGAGCTCTGGCCTAATGTTTTAAATTTTGTAAAGTTTATAGTTGATCTTTTTGGCTTTTAGGCTGGTTACTTTTATGTTGTGTTGTATTCTGTTTACATCTCAAGTACTGTTTATTTCTTTGTGATTCAGTTTAAATTACGAGAAACTTTTGTTTCTTGTTAATTCTTTGTCTCTGTTCCTCATTTGTTACTTCCTGTTATATTCTAGGACTCCTTTGTCTTTTGTGCTTTGTATTTGGTTTTATTTCCTCCTTGTCTCATCACCTACATTCTGTTCACCTGTGCATCACATCCATCAGCTGTCCTCACTTCTCCTTATTGTCCTCTTGTGTCATGTCTGTTTTGGCTCAGTGTGTCTTCCCTGTCGTGTTACTGTACATTCATGTATGGGCTTTGTCATTTGGAATTTGGACTTTTCCACCTGTTTGAATAAAAGTGCATTTGTTGTTTATTGTGTTGTCTGCATTTGGGTCCCTCTCCTACAAACTCATGATAAAATGTCCATCTGCTCTGTATTTATACAGACTCTGGTTGTCACACTGACAGAGCAGATAATTCACACATTAAAAGACTTGATTTAAATATTTCTAATATGCCTTCAACAACAAAAAGTCAGATGGCTGATATAACTTTGAAGTTCACGATGAAAAACTAAAACCTTCCTCTTCAAGCATAAACTTGTGCCTAAACATCCTTTATACACTTTTTGGCTTTTGTATAATTGATCACATATTTATTGTCTGGATGTGAGCTGCGCGTGATACTTCAGTGCCATCCATCTTCAGCAGCCTACTTACCCGACTCATCCTTTTTATACCATTTTGTTGGATAATCCCCGAAGCAATCTCATTTTCGTAGCAAGTCATCAGAAGTTGAATGGACCTAAAATAAAGCCCGAAGTAGTATTTTGGTATTCCTTTCCTGCAACCAACTCATTCTGATGAGACGAAGAAATTGAGAATTGTTAAAACACCGGCGTGGTCAGGGTCAATCGAGGCAGCTTCCACTCTGACAACAACTGACTGCGAGCTGACAGGTTGAGAGATGTTTTTAAATCTCTTTTTTCCCTCCCTCAGGGCTGTCAACTGCAGTCAAATCTCACACTTCCATTCCTCTTTATACCTGTTCTTCAAATCCGATTTAGCTGTTCCTTCGTATACTCCAGAAGCCAGAGATGTGGTGGACATAAATGGCTTTACTACCCTCTTGCTTATCAGCACATTTCATTGTGCTCCACCTGATTTCCTGAGCTGGTGTTACTATTTTACTCATTTGCAGATGAAATTGTGTGCAACTTATTTCTGTGCCATGCTGATTTTAGCTTAAGTGGAGGTTTTTTTGTTCATTGTGAATACATTTTGCTTCTCAGAGGAGCCTCTTGGATGAGTATTGTTGCTCTGCTCTCCCTTCCACAGATATTCAGTAACCTGTGTTTTCATGGTTTTGTGTAAAACCCACTTTACATTCTCCCCCTATCCAAAAACCTGGCCTCTTACATCCTGAAACGCTTTGCTTGGATCAAATATGCGTCTCCTCCTTAGTGCTTTCCCTTTTCTTAGTGCTTGTCTGTATGTCTGAAACTGCGAGTGTGTTTGTGTGTGTCTGTGTGTGTTTCTGCATCATTATATTCATCCCAGTACTGTGTAATTGAAGTGGAAAGAGGGGGCACAGAGGGTGAAAGAATCAGAGCAGATAGCAAAAGACAAACTGTGACTAGCACTCTGGCTGCTGTGTGATCCAGATAGACGGAGCTTGTAGCTCTACGTCAGAGTCTCTCAGGGCTGGCAGCCAAGATGTTAGGGAGAAAAGTCTGTCAGGTAGAGGTGTTTCTTCATGCATGACAGGGCCCATCTCAAACAGTCCTGGATGACAAGCTGTGATGAGTAGAGCCTGTCATTTACTATGACAGTGTGGTGAGTTATGTTTTAAAGAAAGCATACCTAATATAAAACTGATATAATATACCCTTTAAAACATTGCTAACTAGGCAAGAAGCATGATAGAATGCCTGTTTCTCCTAGAATGCCATTAATAAGCTGTTACGCAGGCTACAAGCATCGTAGGTGAAACAGGAAGCTGGATCTGGTAGAACTGTTTTACCATCACATGCAATTTCTTTTTAAATAAATGTTTGAGCTCAGGTTAGTGGGCCCAAGAGCCCGACGCAAGAATCTGGTCTTAATGGCAAAAAATTGAGATTTACTTTCAACTGGCAGGTTTAAGGTTACAAATGACTCCACAGTGTGCTGGCAGCATATGCAAGCCAGGTCCACAGCAGGCAAGTTGGCTCCCCGCACACCAAAAATAAAACAATCTCGTGACTCATTTTGACTTAACAAATGTTATTGGATCTCGTGGATCACATTTATTTTGCATGAAAAAACAGCATTTGAAAAATATTTTGCATTTTACAGATGCTTATTTTCCAGTTATTGTGTTGATAGTACACATTCCAGTAACATTTTTGTGCTTGGTCCTGCATTCAATAAACAATATCTTATTTTTAAACATGTAATTGCCAAGTTCTCAATAATAAGATAACCTTTTTAAAGCTTAACACCACAGAATATTGTCTTGGGTTTGGTCCAGTGGTGTATTTATTATTTATCTAATGCAGTATCCCTGCCATAGAAACTGTTATGTCTCTAAGTCAAGAGTTAGATTCTAAATTTAGGTTTAAAAATATTCACACTTTCAGCTGCTCTACAATTTATTAACTGACTTTTCCAGGTGTTCAGATCATCTAACAGCTACGTGAAAGATCAATTTGTCCAAACATCATCCAAACCCAATTTAAGACAACACAATAGCAAGTCAATGTGAAAGGTATGTGCTTATCAGACATGTGTGCAGTGCCAAATGTTTTAGACATTAATAAACAATGTCTGTGATTCACTTATGTGGCGATGAAAGGCATAAATAGCTATTTATGCTTTTCTTTTGGTTATTTGCCAAGTTGTTGGCTGCCACACACTAAGATGTGTTTGCATTTGGCATAAACTTACACTGTTTGGCAAACCAAAATAAAAATGTAAGAGTGTCGACCATTTGCTACAGGTGTAAGGTGGTAGAAGAAGTGCTAAAAGTTTTACATGAGAACATGTGAGATGCCAGGAAGCAACAGAGAAGAAGTCTACTCTGGCAAAATGAGTTGAGCCTTTAATGTTGTTTCACTTTGATCAGTTTAAGCTTCAATAACTTGGCATATTATTGATATGCAGAAAGAAGAATAGGCCTTTGTTTTTGCTGCACTGTCCTTACTTCATTTTGTGTGTGCGTGTGTGTGTGTCCCAGCAGATGTTATGGAGGGGAAGAGCGCCATTCTGCTGGGGATGAGTCAGTGGAACTCAAATGACCTGGTGGAGCAGATCGAAACGCTGGGACACATGGAGGACCAGTCGCACGGTATTTTCTACAC